GAGTCATTGCTCTGGTAGACTTCTGGGCACCATGTAACTAGCAAAGATCACACCATGTCGGCAGACTGCAAGGTTAGTGGCAAATCGAGAGTGTCATATTGCCGCAAAACTGCATTTCTGGGGCCGTATATGGAGACGAATAAAAAGAACGAAAGTACTAGTAAAATGGCAGCGACGAAAAACAGACCCTGCGAGTCGGAGATGGCCTCAAGGGAAGGTGTTACCACATGTGCGTTGCATCTCGTCAGCGAGTCGTGTTGTTGTTGTTGTTGTTTTCTTTTTTTTTACAGAATGATTACTAGACTTCTCATGATGCAACATTTTTGCACGTAATAAGCGGCAGCCTCGTGCATGGGGTGTTTTGGGCAAGAGGCCGTGCCACGCAGCAGCCAATGCAGGAGCCCTCGTTCCCCGGCCGCCTGGAGAGGCACCAACACAGACCTAAATTTTAAAGGTGAGACCTTCTTTGTCAAAGTGTGTGAATACCTGTAACTGAGGGATTGACGCTGCCTGCTCGAGGTAATTTGGTGGCCGAGCGAAACCTGCCAGGAGTCAAGCGGCAAGATTGCGAACAGCGGTCGCATGACCGGATAACGAACTGCATTGGGAAAGATCTTTGCTTTTCGCGGATTCGGGCGACGTGTTAAAAGACGCACAGAAAAGGGTATCTGAGCGCAATACTATATTCTTGACGGTCAAAGAAGAAAATACGGCGTCTGAGAAGCGGCGATCGGCGCCGCTTCGTTGCCCGTTGCATGACAAGGACAACCACGGCGCAGTCGACTTGTCATATGGACAATCAAACACTGCCTAGAGATTGCAGAGTCGTCTCGGATTGCGCGTCCCGATGGGTTTAGATTGAAGCGCCTCGTCAGCCTATAGCTGCCTTTTCCTGGCAGATAGCACGGCGATGTGCTTCAATGCGACGGGAATGCTTCGCAACGGGCATCATTGTCCAGTTTTCCCTCGTCACAGATCGCAGCGAAACTTTAATCTCCGACAAGTACGGTCTGTATCTTGAGGGGGCTCTTTGTGTATCTCGTCGTCATTATCGGCCCCAGATTGTCTGCAGGTCGTCTGTGTCCCTGGCACCACTTCGCCATCAGTGTCCACGTGTATCGGCATGGGTTCCCGGTCGACGCGGCGTTTTTCGGGGGGCAAGAGGCCAACATGGCGGGCGGGGTAACTCGTCTTCACCACCTCCGATCACGGCCGGTGTTGGCGATGCGAAGGCACAATAGGGTAGATGTCTAGACGATGCTGCTGACAATAGAGTTTATGAGCTGTTTCCTGTCGGTTTATAGTTTGGTGAAGCTGTTTCGGCCGCACAGATGGTCAGATCAGGTGTTCTATCAGCATTCAATGACATTGCCTGCTTCGTGCTGTGCAACGGGTATAATTTTTTTTATCAGCTTTTGATTCTATACTTGTAGACACTTCAGTTTGTCTCTCTGCATTGTTTGCTTGCTGTAATAGAGTAACACTGTCCCCCGGCCGTGGCTTTTGGACGCCCGCCCTATACACACACATAGCGTCGGAAACAAGCAACGGCCCGTCGCGGAACGAACGACTGTCGTTGTATCCGAAGAAGGCAAGAACCAAAACCTAATTGTACCTACTGGAAACTAAACAGGTCATAATGCTCGGGGTGCTGATAAACCTTTTGGTCTCGTGAGGAGGTTTAGTGGCCATGATCCCTGTTTCATTTCACTGCAGCGCCAAACCTTAAGTCCAAGGGCCAGCCGTTCCGAAAAGGACCAACAGATTCCGAGAGAATGCGCAGCCGCACAAGAATTACCTCTTTCCTGATTGCTCCGAATTGGATATTGTTGTGAGATATTTTCATGTACGGATCGCCCAGTAGGGCGCAATGCGTCTGCGGGGGAGGGGCCTCCCCCCCCTCCTCTCCGTGGTACGATGAGGAAGAAGATGGTGTGTACCGGCACTCGTTTTCTTCCCCATTGGGACCGTGTTGTGCTTGAACCCTGCGCCATGTACGCTCGGTATCCTGATGCCGGTGATGCCCTCTGGGGTTGATGGGGTGTCTGCCGAGATGATGCGGACGTGGGCGCAGGCAGGACGATATGGCCTGGTGAAACCGGCAACGCGGCGCTGGACTTGAAAGTTTAGCATGAATGCGACAGCAAATGTCGGGGTTACGGGGGGAAACGAAACAAGTCATGCGATGGGATATGTGCGTATATGTGAGTGGGAATTATGACCAGCGAGAGATCTTATCGCGGGAATTCTGTATCTTATTACTACGTACTGATATGACACTATAGAAGGCGAAACACTTGTTTCTTTTGCTAGAGTGGTGCAATTTATATTTCGCCGTTTTTCGAGGATGATGACTCACGGCATTCCAATTTTGTCGACGACTTGGGCGAGATCAACAGTCGGTCACCGCACTCGACCTTTTTCGCCAATATCCCCTCACCCAACATCCAGCCCAGCCAACAGCAGTGTCATGACAGGCGCCACAACTAATAACTACAAGTTCCATCCCATCTGGGCCTTCTATTCTTCGTTTCCAAAAGGCGTGTGGCTCGTGCTCGCGCAGTTTCAGAAGCGCTAGGCCAGGGTACAAGTCCACTAGAACAACTGGGCTGAAAAAAAGCCCGAGTTTTGGGAGGGAGGGGGAAAATGGCCCTCATTGCCCCTCTCCTCTGTAAAAAGGTAGAAATGGTGGCTTTGCTTGTGCTGTTGGAGGGCTGTGGCTTGTGGCGGCTCCTAACCTGCGACGAAGCTCCGTACAAGAGGGCAGGCAAAGCCATGGGCAAGGGGATAGTGCGACGAATGGCAACGAGGAGATGAATACGCCAACGTGCTGGAACGGCTTGAAGACATTCTAGCGGCAGGTGGCTTGTGAGGGCGGGCTTGGTGGTGAGAGCGGAGGCTTGTGGGTGTATGGGTTATGGGTGAAATGGCATTTTTTGCGCGGTAGTTAGGATGTGAGCGTCGAGGCATCTGGATGACAGGATACACCCATCACTGGTCATCCATCATGTTGCAACGGCGCTCGGTGGCTAACGAGCCAGGCGATCGATGCATGTATGCAGGGTTGCGGGAGGAGCTGGGAAGCGCGGCCCGTGACACGAAGAAAGTATCTGAATGCTATTCATGGAAAGCTAAAATAGACAAATAATAAGAATAAGAATAATGTACTCAGGTTTCATGCTGGATCCCCCGCATAGGCCATCTTGAAGCACATGAAGCAAGAACCATCATGGTGCATGCATATCTACTCAAGTCACTGGTTCCCTCCGCGATGGCGCGGCCGAGCGGGTATAGCGTCTTACGGGGGGGCTCCTTTTGCCCTCTCTACCCCCAGCAGGCAAGCCCGTGCTGCGCCGTTCTCTTCCACCGGAAGCCTCCGTTTCACGGACGTTGCCCGCCCCCGGCCCCCCGCCCATAGCAAGCCCGTTGTAAGTTTTGTTGCGGGGAGGCAACAGCGCCGTCATTTCGTCAACGGCCACGCGAGAGCAATTCGCCCGTTTATGGGAACAATGGCGGCTACCCGATGGTGATTTGTTCAAGTAACTTGTGCGACGGGAGCCGGTCGTGTCGACGGGGACAGCCGCGACTCGGGAGGCCCCGTCGGAAGGAATAACATCCCTGCGCCCGCTATGGCGGCGACATTGCCGATGTCGCGCAGGGGAACAAGCGCCAAGAAGCTTGTTGCCGTTTCTCTCCCACGCAGATGCGTCTCGGATGGCGAATAGCTGTCTTGGGTTGGCCTATCAGTCCGGATTGCGTGATGGGATGCCGTGCACAGTAGTGTTTCAAAAATAGTCGTCATGTTGATTAAATTTGTCATTGCATGCAGCGAGATTTGGTTTGCAGCACTTGGGTGCAGAATGCCACCAGGCCGGCTAAGTCATGCACAATGGCATTTCCGACAATGCAAAACAATTTCCAGAGATTGTCCCAGGTTGGAGGCGTTGACGCTATAAAAAGCTATATCGATTCCGACCACTCGGCACGTCTCTTTTGTCCTCGCAGTGTTGATCAAAGCGCGCAGCTCCAAGACGCTGGGGGTCCTGGGGATCGTCGGGACAGTTCAAACGTAGGAGAGGGGGGAGTCACCGCAAAGGGGCCCGGCCGTTGTACAGATCTTGGTTGACAGGTCAGATTTGCAGTGCAAAGTTCCGGCATCGCTATCCAACATGTCTGATGGGTTAATGCGCGCTGCGGGGGGCGATGTTGTGCTTTTGTCGCGAGCAAGGCACCGAGCACGGATTGCGGGGAGGACCAGGATTGCGATTGTTTCAACATTCAGAAGCAGTCTGAATACATTTTACGGTACCATCGTCACCAGGCTTTCTCTTCATGGCCCATCGTGAAGACGAGAAACTACGCCGGGATGATATCTCGGCACTGCGGACAGGTCGCTTCCGGCATGTAGATTGGTGGTGGTCGTCAGGGAGTCGATCGTCGCAGGATCCCTTGGCACGGATTGGTGAAGCCGGTACTGGCTGTATATGTTGTTGATGGCCTGCGGATTTCCTGCGTGCAGTTTCAAGTGTGTCATGCCTGGAGGTATGTACTACCAGTCCAGCAGTGTCTCGCATCATCATCACACCCTCCCGGGGACAAGATACGTGCAGGACAGGTTCCAAGTGGATCTTTTAGCATCTTTTTTACCATAATATCTCCTGCGAATAAATTCATGAAATGTTTCCTGTTTTGTGTGAACCATTTCGATTCCTGCATTATCACCCCAAGTGTATCGTAGTATTCTCGAGTTTCAAAGGCGAGGTTTCCCGACATCTCTTTTAATATAATTCAGTAATTCAACTACTTCATGCATTCATAAAATGTTTCTTTTTTATGTCGAATATGCCGTTTCATTGTTGTAACCTATGAAATGCATCACAGGATTCGAGTTTCAATCCCATTCCTCAATATCTCTTTTCAGATATCTTAATTCATCTACATAATACATCATAAAGTGTTTCATTTTTGTGTTAATTCTTCTCGCCTGTTTTTTGTCACCCATGAAATGCATCGCGGTACGGATATTGTCGGGCTTATTCCGTCCCCCGCGCCGCACCTCCGCTTCCCCGCCCACTAACTTTGCACCAGGCTCCATCTCACCACACAATCCTTCGGCCGGTCAGCGCACAGCAGCGAATCGCGTCCATCTCCGTTGTTAGCCGTTCCCCGAGGGCTTTGTCGAGATTTTCGGAAAAGGCGGGCAGGCTCTGACGACATTGGGGGAACCCGCAGAAAAGTCATCACGCCGACTAACGCCGAGGGCACACATGTCGTGGACAGACTTCATCACCAGCAGCATCGGATCGAGAGTCGCCAGCCGTCTCTTCCCTGCCACCATCACGTCCCGACGGAGCTTTGCCACAGTCCATCCCACAGCAGCAGCAGCAGCAGCAGTCATGGCGGGCACCCAGCGCGATCCCACCACCCTCTCCAACTATGGCCTCTGGCGCACCCGCCACACGGCCGTCGACTTCACGATTGACTTTGACGGCAAGCGCCTGCACGGCGCCGTGACGCTGCGCCTCGAGCGCCAGACGGACGCGCCCAGCCCCGAGGTGGTGCTCGACACGCGCTTCGTGCAGGTGCTGGGCGCGCGCGTCGACGGCGCCGCGGCCCCGTGGGAGCTCAAACCGCACCAGGACCCCCTCGGGGCGCCGCTGCACATCACGCTGCCGGCGGCCGCGGCGGCCGTGGCCAGGGGCAGCACCGTGGACCTGGTGCTCGACGTGGCGACGACGGCGCAGTGCACGGCGCTGCAGTGGCTGACGCCCGCGCAGACGTCCAACAAGAAGCACCCGTACATGTTCTCCCAGTGCCAGGCCATCAACTGCCGCAGCATCTTCCCGTGCCAGGACACGCCCGACGTCAAGTCGACGTTTGCCTTTCGGCTGACGTCGGCGCTGCCCACCGTCGCCAGCGGCGTGCCCGTCGGCGACCACGCCCCGACCCCGGGCGTCGCAAAGGTCTACGAGTTTGCGCAAAAGGTGCCCATCCCGTCGTACCTGTTTGCCGTCGCGTCGGGCGATATCCGCACCAGGCGCATCGGCGCGCGCAGCTCCGTGGCGAGCGGGCCCGAGGAGGTCGAGGGCTGCAAGTGGGAGCTGGAGCGCGACATGGACAAGTTCCTCGAGGTCGCCGAGAAGCTCATCTTTCCGTACCGCTGGGGCGAGTACAATGTCCTGGTTCTGCCTCCTAGCTTTCCATATGGAGGTGCGTATTGCCGAGAGGAATGTGTGTCGAGGACAGGCGCGCTGACAGAGGATAACTAGGCATGGAGAACCCCATTTACACTTTTGCGACGCCTACTATTATCAGTGGCGATCGCCAAAATGTCGACGTCATTGCGCACGAGCTCGCGCACAGCTGGAGCGGCAACCTCGTTTCCAATGCCAGCTGGGAGCACTTGTAAGTGTCCTATGCGTGCAGACGGGCACAACGCTAACTCGGAACAGCTGGCTGAATGAAGGCTGGACCGTCTACCTCGAGCGCCGTATCGGCGCTGGTCTTCACGGCGAGCAGGAATTTGACTTTTCGTCCATCATTGGCTGGAAGTCTCTTGGTAGGTCGACTCCCCTCCCCTGTAGAGCCGTGGTTGTGCTGACATTCTGCAGAGGATGCCGTGGCTCAGTTTGGCCCCGACCACGAGTACACCAAGCTCATCATCAGCCACAAGAATGTCGACCCCGAGGACGTCTACAGCACCGTTGCCTATGAAAAGGGCTTCCACTTCCTTTACTACCTCGACCGTCTCGTCGGCCGCGCCAACTTTGACAAGTTCATCCCGCACTACTTTACCAGGTGGGCCGGCAAGTCGCTCGACTCGTTCGAGTTCAAGACGACATTTATGGACTTTTTCAACAGCCACGGGGACGAGTCTGTCAAGCACAAAATCAGCACCATTGACTGGGACGACAAGCTGTACTCGCCTGGCCTGCCGCCCAAGCCCGACTTTGACACGACCCTGGCGAAGCAGTGCTACGACCTGGCCGACAAGTGGAAGGATAGCGTACGTGTTTCCTTTTTTTGTCGTCCATTCAGAAATGATACAGATAACTAATTACCTCTCTTTCGTTGTGTAGTCGTTTGAGCCCGCGCGCGCTGACATTGACGGCCTGACGGCGAACCAGCTGCAGGTGTTCCTCGGCGCGGTGCAAGAGCGAGGCGGGCTGTCGCCGGGGCGCGCGCAAAAGATGGGCGAAGTGTACGACTTTCTCGCGTCGGAGAATGTCGAGGTGCTGGCGGCGTACTACCACATCGCGCTCGCGGCCAAGGACCCGACGTGCGTGGACGGGGTGGCGGCGCTGCTGGGCCGCGTCGGGCGCATGAAGTTTGTGCGGCCGCTGTACCGCGGGCTCAACGAGGTGGACCGCGACTTGGCGCTCCAGACATTTGCCAAGAACAAGGACTTTTACCACCCCATCTGCAGAGGCATGGTTGAAAAGGACCTCAAGGTCTAAGGTGGTCGGTCATGGACATTTTCGGTCGATGGATAGCAGATAGGACATGCACGGTATATCCACTGCGATGTAGGAGATACATGGATAGTCAAATAGGAAGAGAAAAAAATGCCATGCTAGTCTATTCTATCTGGCTGTGTTCCTGAAGGTTCTATAAAGAGGTGGCCCGGCTCCAACAACTACTCCAGCCAGGAGGAGGCACCCAAGCTATCAGCCCAGGTCTGCGTCTGCTCGCGCTCAAAACGAGACGTCGAGTCTACCTCGAGGGCGCCAAAGTTGCCATAGAGATGGGGGTAGCCATCCTCGAACTTGACAGGATCAGAGAGCTTGGAGAGCTCCAGCTTGATGACCCAGAGCTTGGTGTGCTCAGTGAAGAACAAGCCTGCCGTCTTGGGAACCTATGACCAGTGTTAGAAAACCGCACTGTCCGGTGTTTGTGCTGGGATGAGTTGTTTGGGGATGAGGTGGTTGCGGTGCTTACCTGCTCAGCAGTGCTGAGATGGACGAAGCCGTCATTGGCATCCAGCTCGGACAGGGGCAGCTGGGCGGGCAGGGGCTCCGCCGGTGCCTCGTGCAAGATCTTGTAGACGAATCGCGGAGATTCGGAACCCATTCTTTATAGATGGTGGGCGGAATGACGTGCAGAGGTTATGTTGCAATGGTGGAAGGGAATAAAGAATAATAAGGAATTATGACGTTTTGTTTAGGGTAACGGCGGGAGGGGTACAAGGTGGCACAGGATTGGTGGACCGCTTTGTAATTTAGCGGGATACACACAAGTAGTCGATCAATGTTCTTCTTTAAAGAAGTATATACTATTATAGGTAATACTCAAAGTGTTCCATTACTAAAATACTACTTTAATTCTTTCAAAAAATAGAGTCCACTTCACCTTTAAGGTGGCTGCAGCAATCTTTCGATGCGTGGACAATAAGCCTGTAAGTAACCTTTAGCATAGTACGTACTGTGTCCTCAGTTACTAGGTACTCAGTGCCTATAAACACTGGGCATTGTTGGTCTACATGGCCCTGTATCAGTACACAGTGTCTTTCCATTTCAATCTCCAAACCTTGTGCGAAAACACTTCATCTATATGTGCAACGCTATATTGCATTTGCAGCCTGTGAAAATTTGACGTTATGGATGTGGAACACACAACGGCATAGTTTGTGGCACACGTATAGGGTAAAACACTAGCTGGCTCGGGGTCTTCTTTATTACAGATCGTCCTTGGAATCAGCACACTTCTTGTACTCCGACCTGGACAATACCCATCCCGCCACAGCTCCTCCTGCACCTGGCCGTTGGCGCAATTTCCCTCGGCAACAATCTCCAGGCTGCCAACCTGACAATCCAAGTCGACGCACGCACCATCGGTATCGCACTGGACGCTGTCGTTACCGGCTCTTGACCTTGAAGGCGACCGCGCCGTCCTGCCCGGAGCAGATGCCGCGCGCGGGCGCCGTAGACGTCGAGGCCCGCGTGGCGGCGGCGGTGCACGCCGACGGGGGCTGCGCGTCGTTGCCCTCGAGCACGTTGAAGACGCGCGCGCCGCCGCACGTCTCCGAGGCGTTGCCCGCGCACGGCGCGCCGCAGTCGGACGGCGACGGGCTGCGCGACCCCTCCACGTAGTGCCCGCACCAGCACTCGGTGCCGGCCTTGGCGCCGGCGAACTGGTAGCCGTCGCGCCAGCACCTGCTCTCGCACGCGGCGCGCGTCATGTCAGCGCCGGCTGGCGCGGCCAGCTGCGTCTGGAAGGGATGCACAGAGGCGTCCGCGTAGCACCCGTGGTCCGTCCAGACGGGTGGGGGCGTCGAGGCCGTGGTGGTGGGTGTCGAGGAGGACGAGGTGGTGCGCGAGGAGGAGCGCGTCAGTTCCGCGACGACGCCCACGCAGTAGGAGTGTCTGCCCCAGCCTGTGCAGTCGAGGGAGACGGACGGGTTCCAGCGGGAGAAGGTCTCTGGCGAGATGTTCCAGGTCGCTCTGACGGAGGCGCAGGGTTTGGTTCCGTAGTTGTCGTACCAGAAACTGCAGTCTTTGATGGTGTTGATGTCGTAGCTTAGGAATGGCTCCACGTCGGCCGTGGCCAGATGCACGAGGCTTGCCAGCGCAGCGTAGGAGAGCAGCGTTGATTTCATTGTCAAGTTTCGGAACGAGCGCGAGGGGTAAAATGGGTGTATTCACAGATTCAACTGTCAGGATAGGGATGAGAAGCTCGCTTGTCTCATATGTGGTGGGTGTAAGTCAAGTCCGGCAGCAGAGTCGATACGAATCGTCAAAAAGAAAAACGAGAAGAAAAAGGCAAGCAAAGTGGGCAAGCGGAAGTTGCAAAATACTCATCTCCACAACCTCGCCGACTTGCAATATTTTACCTATTTGCGGCATCTTGCCTTTATAGCTCATGCAATACACCCAGATGTAAAAGCAGCCTTGGAACAGGCGTTTTGCGGGCTCGGGAGGAATGGGGGAACACCCCAGCACCGAAAGTGGCCTTGGTAGGGGTCTCTGGGGCCAAGAAATAGTCACTATTTTTACTTTAGCTGGTTACCCGTGTAAGCCGACTCTGTTCGGGAGTCATCCATCCAGCAGTGTCCTCCTCCTGCCCTCGGGGTGGTCGGCCACATGGTGCACTTCCCATGCGGCTTTTTTTTCTGGTTTCCCAGAAAATTCTCTTGTATATCGCTCTTGCTTCTGTAAGTGGTTATGCCGAGGCTGAAATTCCGGGTTTTTCTATTTATCGGAGTTCGGAGATCGCAGTCAAGGCGGAAGGTTCTTGTTGGTTCAAGTAGTACCATAATACAACTAAATAAATGTATTCACAATTAGACATTGGCTATCCACCAAGTAGATAATGACTTCTCATTTACAACAACCATAAGTCTTCACTATTACAGATATGTCCCCCAGATCCAGTTGTCAAACTGCCTCTGTTCGCGGAGCACAGCCCTCAACCGTCGCCTGCTGCGGAGCGAACGTCTCCCAGAGTTCTGCAACTCTCTTGTGGTTTGCAGCCCTCGTTTCTTTGTAAAGGTCCTCAATTACAGCCCGCAGCTCCGCCAGGGCCTTTTTGGTCCTCTCCTCTGCGTCTGGCTTGCCCTCCCAAGCACTCATGATTCCGCGAATAGTGTCGTCTTCCTTAAAAAGGCGACGGTTACCGGAGACCGACTCAGTGACAAGCGGCCTAATTTTCTTCGCCTCGAGTGCCGGGATGAGATACTCGGACATGTCGCATCTTCGATCAGTAATGACACCACTCATTGCGGCATCGATCCGGTCAAAGAGCCTTTGCGTGTCTTTGATCTGATCCGCAGTCATCGTTTCCTTGAGGGCCGCAAGCCGCTTACCAAGTCTGCTGATGCTCTCTTCGTAGTCCTTGGCGCCGTCCTTTATTTTGCACCAGACTTCCCCGCCTTCGGCCCCAATGTCGCCAAGGATCATCTGCTTCGCCGCGTAGTCGACGTCAAAGTACAGCGCGTTCTCGCCAACCTCGGCGCCGAGAAGGCGCTCATTCCTGTAATTTTTGGCTTCGCCCGCCAGGGGATCGGTCTTCAGATACTGCTTGCCACCGCTGATGTGGCTCAGGAACTCTCGCAAGCTGCAGGCGTCAGTGATCTTTTGGCCGCCGTAGCCTTTCACCTTGGCCGTGCCCTTGCAAGGCATGTACTTGGGGTTGTGATCCAGGCATTTAACGGTAGTAGGGTCTGCGGCGGCACACTTTACACCGATGATGCGCTGGCTTTCGGGGAGGAGCAGCAGTTCCGCCCTATATCCCAGAAACACAACAATGCTCTCATAGGCATGGCGCAGCTTAGCACTGCCAACGCATACAAGTCCGAAGAGGACAAGCAAAAAGAGAGGGTTTCGCATAATTGAAGAAGATTGTCTAACAGCGTTGGGAGGTAGTCACAAAACAATGGGAAGTACAAAGAGATGGTCTTAACAATGCCAGTCTTTCCTAAGTACATGTAGCTGTCTTCCTCTCCTCCGTTTTCCAACTGCCTGGCTGAATAACTGCATCCGTGTTTATGAGGATACCGAAATGAATAATATGCGGCTCAGCTTACCCCCCTGCGTCTTCATTCATTGCCAGGCTGTCCGGCGACATCTCATGCAATGGATTGTTAGCTGCACTTGGCGTTCCGCTATTAGTTGTGCGGTGCCACCAACGGCGTTCCTGCATAACATAGGCGCCTTTATTATATCTCATTCATTCTCCAAAGTGTTGGTGCCTCTTTAGAAATTCCCCTGGATTCTCCAACTCCTCATCAGCTGCATCTACAATACATCTTGTTCTTTTTCTTTGAATCATTTCTCTCCAATTAGGGACCCTGTAGTGGCGCTGGAAGTGATTCCCCATGACTTGCTTTTCCACACGGAGGTAGTTTTGAGGAGTTAACCACTCTGCTTCGGGTGTGTTCTTCTGGTAGCAAATGACCCGTGCAGAAAAAGATACCGGGTCCCATCTGGCGTGATTGAACCACGTCTCGAATACAGGTAACCACTCTTTTACCCATTGGCCCTCTCCCGAAACGCGAACCATTTGGAAAGTGATGTCTTTTAACGAGCCAAGGTTCCTCTCTAGCCAGCCGTGGTTCTTGTCCTCAAATTCGGGTACATTGTAGCACCGAGACGACAAATATTCATCAGCATCATAAAATATCCGGATCCAGAGATTTTGTGCCTGCTTAAACCAGGGATGGCGAGAAAGGGGAACAAGGTGTCCACGATTGAAGCGGACGGTGTCAATGGCAAGGTCGAACCAACTTGGCAAGCCCCCGTCGGGCTTTACGGGCTCAGCAAAGATGTAGCGGAGGAAGGCACGCGACTCCTTGCACGCGAGGTACGCAGCGGACGGCTCGACAACAAAGAATAGCCTGTAACTACCGTCGGGAAGTGAAACACTACCCACGTATCTGCTCTCCCCCGTCACATGTGGCGGTTGGCCAGGTTGGGAACCGTCCGACCTTTTCGCTGGAGGCGGGCCTGCGTCGGTAAAGGTAAGCATCATGGGGCCGAGAGTGGCAAGCCATATTGCCCGCCGGAGATCCGCTGGAAGCTGAGGAAACAAGGTAAACATGGCTGCCGCCGGCTGTAGGTGTTGAGAAGAAGACAAGTCCGGATAGTTAGTGCAGGGTTCCGAGGTGATGTAGTCTGCAACCCACAACGGCTTAAATAATCGTTCTGTCAGGTTCCGGGGTGGCGTTATGCTCCACCAGATTCGATGCAGAATAGAAAGTATTATTATTATGTACTCAAATTGCTCCTCCCCACCTTACTCTGATGGAAAAAGTAGTTATCGTACAAGTGTGCCACGGCCAAAGTAGTGGACACGCAGACAATCACACCAGATTGACCACCAGCCTAAGAAGAAGTCCAGCTGAAATATTTTCCCTGCATCTTCCTTCAGACCCAGTCGAGCGGATCAGGCTGCAATTCGATAGTTTCAATGCAACATCTAACTAGTCCAAAGCCATAAGATGGAGCTTGCTGATGCAGCTAAATGAGATGTCCATGAGCTTGCTTGCCGGCTTTGCCGCGATTCTCGGGACAGGCCGCTCATGGTCCCGTTCCCATGCCTCGAGGGTTGCTGCTTTTACGGCACCTAGTCAAGCCGATTTTGTAGATGGCCTTTGCGGCATGGGCCTTCAATATGACCAGCTTGCGCGGGCTTATCGTCTTGCATAGTAGCAGCAGCCCAAAATTTGTCTACAGTCAAAATAATGCTGACTGTAGGAATTGCTCTCGTAGAAATTACTGTTCTTACCTTTCCATTCATTCAGCTAGTTTTCGTATTCGTTCTTCATTCGTAACACAGCTTGGGCCCGGGTTCTCCTTCCTTCCTTCTCTCCCTCTTTCGCTCCTTCATGTTTTCTCCGTGACTTCCTTTCCTGTCTCGTGTATTGCCACGATGAGGATTAATGCTCTAGCCTGGTCGGCACTTCTGGTGTTCAGTGCGCAAACAAAGGCATCCGCGCGAGAGGACCATGGAGGTAATGCTGGCTCATCTTCTCTGGCCATGGAGGCCGATTTACAGATGTATATTTACTGATGGCCTGTGGCAGGAATCGATCAGACCTTTGCGGTCATTGATGATTTTGTTGAGGAATGGAAGGTCAAGTACCCTTCCCTTGACAAGGAGAAAATCTCGGACATCCATGCCACAGCTCAGCGGATGAAAGATGGCCTCATCAATCCACCTCCCCCGCCTCCACGGGTCACAGTTCCCGTGAGCAAGCCAACAGATGTACCTCTTCCCGACACGAAACCATTTGGTAGTCTTATGACCAACGGCACAAGCGGTCCCTACTCTGCCAACTCGACCAAGCTTGAGAGGGCCCGTCAGATCGTTCGCCAGGCCCAGCAGGAGGCGGATACTCGCAATCAAGAACGTTTTGCCAATCCGCGCGTGAACAATTATTACCACAGTCACGGTTCAGGCGCAAAACGGGCTCGCGCCCTAGACAATGCATCTCTGCGTATCAATGCGACGGTTACCGCTGCCGCCGCCATTCTTGCCGAAGCAAACGAAGCAAACGCCACGACCGTTGATCATTCCAAGTATGCTCTTCCCCTCGACATTGCGTCCAAGATCTCTCAGCTAGATGGGGATTCATATTTGGCAAAGAGATCACCACCTGGCTCCAAGAGCTTTTGGATGGAAACCATCACGCATGATGGCCTAGTTCCCTTTGGTGGCTCCTCCACCTCTGGGTACAAAGTGTTCAGAAACGTCAAGGACTACGGCGCAGTGGTAAGTAAATTTATATCAACATTCTTTTGTGGCATCTCTGACAGGCGACTCAAAGGCTGATGGTAAAACTGATGATACCGATGCCATCAACAAAGCTATGTCGGATGGAAAGAGGTGTGGCGCGGACTGTGGTTCGTCAACCATCAAGCCTGCAATTGTATACTTCCCTTCTGGGTGCGTATAGAAGTCAAAAGGTTGAAGAACTACCGTATTAATTGCTATTTAGCACATACCGCGTTCGCCAAACTATTCCCATGTTCTACAATACCCAGGTTGTTGGTAATGTAGGTGCGTCTACACCCAAGATTCTATTAGACTGACAAATCCCTCCCAGCCCAATGACATGCCAGTTATATTGGCCGATAGAAACTTTATCGGCTTGGGAGTTTTGTCCTCTGATGAGTACACTGGTGGCAATGGAGGTGCGGATGAGCGGTACATCAACCAGGTAAGACTGACGTCGGCCCTGCTGTATCAGTCCCACAAAGCCCCAGATCGCTGACAAAGTTTCCAAAAAAGAATAATTTCTTTCGCCAAGTTCGCAATTTGATCATTGATACAACCAAGGTCAGGATGAAAGGCGTGGCCGGGCTTCACTGGCAGGTAGCGCAGGCAACGAGCATTTACAACGTCCGCTTCTTTGGCTCCACAGACAGAAGCAAGAAACACATCGGTATATGTGAGTTTTCTGCATTCATTTCAAATCTCTCCGATGAAATGAGACACGTTATTGACCCTTATCCTATTCTAGTTGCGGAGAATGGCAGCGGCGGCTTCATGGGCGACTTGGTTTTCTCTGGTACAACAATTGGTATTCGATGTAAGTCTTGATGTTTTCGCAAAGCATTTCTTCAATATTTCGCTGATACATTGAAAAGGTGGGAATCAGCAATTCTCGTCTCATTCTCTGGCATTTTTTAATGTTGGAACGGCCGTTGACCTCCTCTGGGACTGGGGCTGGACCTGGAAGAACATCTACATTTTCAACTCGGATGTGGGCTTCAACATGAACGGTGACTTCATGGGAGGTTCTATGATGCTCCTAGACAGTCATTTTGAGTTTGTCAACCTCGGAATTTCCATCGGCACTCAGACGGGAAGCACAGACCAACAAGAGTTCTCTATGACGCTGGAGAACATCGCCATGACTGACGTGAAGACAATGGCGGTGCACAAGGCGTCCAACACGTTTCTGACAGGAGGTTCATCGAAAATCAGCTCATGGATGATTGGAAAAGTGTATGACAAGGCCAATGCCGACGGCTCTTTTGTCAAAGGCCAGTACTCTAAAATGGCTAACAGAGATCAATCGCTCGTCATGACGAATGGCGTTGCCTCAAACGGATACTTTATCCGCAGAAAGCCTCAGTACGAAGACAAGCCGGTAGACTATTTCATGACTGCTCATCCTACGGCTAAAGGTGGGTTCAGAAGTTCCATGCAGCCTTCTGGATGGTATGGTTACTAATTCGCAGTAATAGGTGACGGTGCAACCGATGATTCCTTTGCTCTTTCCCTTGTCGCTGCCGTCGCAATGTCCAAGAAGATTGCTCTGTATATTCCTATGGGCTCATACATTGTCTCACAACCAATTCTTGTGAGATTTCCTACGATTTTTTTTTTTCTGTCACTCTTTCCTCTCTGCCAAGCGCCTATATTCCTTGATCAAAAGTATTGACTCGTATGCAGTTCCCCCCTGGCTCCGTCATCGTCGGCGAATGCTGGTCCCAAATTGTAGCCAAAGGAAATGTAAGTCAAGTTTTTGAAACCACATCCGTTGAGATATAAAAGTAATCTTGTCTTTGCAGAAATTTGGGGACTCTTCCAACCCAATGCAAGTCGTCCTTGTGGGAAATCAGGGCGACACCGGCTCCGTGGAAATCCAGGACCTGTTGGTGACAGTGTCAGGACCGACTGCCGGAGCTATCCTAATGGAGTGGAACATTGCGCAAGATAAACAAGGATCAGCAGCAATGTGGGGTAAGTTGATCTTGTTTATTCTCGAATTACTGTTGAGCGACACTGACGGTTCATTTAGACGTCCATTTCCGCATCGGCGGCGCCGCCGGATCAAACTTGGAGGCTCCAATTGCCCAAAGTTGTCCGGTTCTGTAAACAAGAAGTGCATCGCAGGATCCCTAATGCTACACATGACCGCCAAGTCGTCCGGATATCTGGAAAATGTCTGGGCTTGGGTTGCAGACCATGAGCTGGACGGCGGCCCTAGCCAGACGCAAATCGACGTATACGTTGCAAGAGGTAACTCCAATTCATTCCAAACTATATTGTCTCAAGCTAACTATCCTTTGTAGGAATTTTGATAGAGAGCGGGAAAGGCCCTGTTTGGCTGTATGGAACTTCCTCCGAGCATTCCGTCTTGTATCAGTACATGATACATGACGCATCCAACGTCGTCATGTCCATGGTATGTTATACCGGATTCCTTTTTTTATTTAAATTGATTGTTGTCCCAGATACAAACGGAAAGCCCGTACTACTTGCCAGACCCCCGAGCCCCAGAACCATTCAAACAAGTCGCTCGTTTTGGCGGAGACCCTGACTTTTCGGACTGTGCTTCCTCCGGTCCTCACTGTGCAGCAGCCTGGGGCCTTTACATCCTCGGATCTACAAATATACATGTTTATGGTGCTGGATTATATAACTGGTTTCAACGATACACCCAGCCCTGTGTCGATTCCCAGAACTGTCAACAGCGCGTCGTCAACGTCAGGAACAGTGGCCAAGTCTGGCTCTACAACATTTACACAATCGGAACAGTCGAAATGATTAATCACGAAACGGATAAGCCTATTTTGGCTAAGCCTAATACCAACACGAACATACATCCTTTTACCTCGGTCATCAATGCCTGGCTTCGTGCTTCCACAGGCCAGTACGTAGACATCTGCACGCAGTTGCCATCTGATTGGCAGACACTAACACATTTCATAGCGGTTCAAGTGACAGAGACGACGACGATGATGATGACACCAAAGAGTACGTTAGTCCTGTTCTCTGCGATGCCTTATACACCAGCCTTGAGCAGATGGAGGCTTCATATGACCACATCCAAGATCGGTGCATCAGCAAGTATCTGGCCCAAGTTTTCGCCAGGAACCTCACCAGCAGCAGAGAAAAGTACAACAAAGTCATCAACAACGACTATCCTTCAAAGTTCAAAATCTATCACGACGTGGTAAAGGAGCAGTCGATTTACCAGATTAAGAAATACATGCTCGACGACAAGGCGGTCGGGTGGTCCTGTGGCAGGCCACAGCCAAAGAAGTGCTGCAACGAGTGCTCCAATAGCGGCGGCAATTATATGGACCCTGTTTGTTTCCACTTGTCTTGCTTTGGCTCCAATGAGGGATCTCGGACAAAATGCAGCAGCGGCGAGGACAAGAAGGTGGCTTGCCCAACTGTTGTTGGCGATTATCCCGGCCGCTATCATTGGGACCTAGATGATAAGGACAAGTTCTTTGATAATCTTGAAAAACATTACGGTGTTTTGCAGGGCTGGGTCGAGTTTATCGACTATGATGTCCACTACAACTACGGTTGTGTTTGGGGCCAGACAGAATCAGACCCCCGGAACATGGCACAGTGCGCTAAGGATAGCGATGTGTTTTGGACAAACTACCCGGCACTCAAGCACGACTTTGACCTCAAGGACCCGTCCGACATCATGAAGGCAGCGTACGACAGCGTGACGCGCCTAATAGCGGAGACGGAGATTCAAATGACAGCGGCTGCGGATGGGTTCGGCAGCTACGCGGACATTGCCAGCACCCTGATGCTTCCGGCCATGTCCATGAGCTCGGCCGTCAAGAACATGGAGGGTATCGTCAAGATTGCGGACCAGAAGATCGCCCAGGACCGCGAGGAGGGCATCGCGACCATCATCACCTCCATCTTCTTCTTCATCCCATTCGTCGGCGAGGCGGCCGCGGCCGTGGGCGTCGCGGTGCTGCGTACAATCATCGACCTCGCGGGGGCGTTTGCCGACATTGGGTACTCCATCTACGACAGCGTCAAGCACCCCGATGACCTGATGGGAAACCTCTTTGGCATGCTCTTTGACGCGCCCGTCATGGGCGCGGCCTTTAGGCAGATAGGCAAGGAGTGGCGGGCGATGAAGCAGGAGAAGATCGACACGCTGCCTGAGACCTTTATCAACGATGTAAAGAGAACTCGAAAGATGCAGGCCATGTGCAAGTTAGATTAGTTACTCGCCTGGCGTTGACTTGTAATGGAAAAAGAATGTAAGCAATTGTTCACAAGAAGGACGTAAGGTAGAAAGGTGGGGCGCGGCCTATTACGGTTTTTGGAGGGCGAATTAGAAAACGATACGCATACAGCCTCCCATCGACGCCAATCGACGGGATGGAAAAGTTCCAACGACGTGGCAGCCTTTCTACCTACTTATCTGGGCGCGTGACAAACACATCACCAGCTGCATTCAAGAGGGATGAGCAGAGGACCGCTGCCGTCGGAGTTATGTCTACTATCTTCGCTGCCGCGGCGTAAAGTCGACGACAAGGTGCGATTTCTTGGCTGGTGCGTATCCGGTCCCTAGGGATGTGATGTGGTAGTCTAACCGCCTCGTGCAGCGTGACGGCCTACTCGACAAGCACGGCCTGCCTGACGCTAGGCCACCTGTACCCGCGAGGCACCGACGTCTCGGTGCGGGCCAATGTCGAGCTGCTGCTAGAGACGCTGGCGGCCGAGGCGACGCACACCGGTGAATGGGTCAACGTGGTGGGCTACGTGACGAGTGTCGGTGGCGGCACGGCGGCGGTGCAGGCGCTCATGGTGTGGCCGGCCGGACCGATGGACGTTCAGCAGTACGAGGCGGCGCTGGAGGATATATGACAATGTGCGTTGGAATGGGGGCACTGTTGGGCTTGCTCGCGTTTTGGCGTTGGCTGGGTTTTGTTTGGCTGGGCGTGGGCGTGGGCGTGGTCTTGGGCGTGGGCAAGTCAGTGGTTCGATGGCGTCACGACGCCGTTGTGTATTATAATAAAACGTGTTTATTATTTTCGAATATCAACTGCCGCGTGTGTTGACTCGTGTGGTTTCTTTCCCTTGGATCGGCAGGAAAGACGGGTGAAACATGGTTCGCGTTGCATCTTTCGCGGTTGCAGGTAAGGGACAGTCGGGTGTGGATTCGGGTGGAGGGGGCGTGGTGTTTTGCAGTAAAGACGGGTGGCAGATGGTTGGGGAATCGGAGATGGAAGATGGGCCGCATGAATCAGGACAATGGATGGTGTGTTTTTTTCGAGTACTAACAGTAAGAAACACGGTGTGCGCCATTGAGTGGTGGTCGAGTGTTTGCATTATCTTGCTGCCTGTTCCCGCTGCCATGCTAGACACAGGTGCCGTGCCTCGCGCACTTTGTTTAGGGCGGGGCAGCATTCTTGAAGTGCCACGTGCAAAAGTGACTTTAGTGGCTGAGCGCCCTGCAAGGCCCTGAAAGTATCTCATTTGCTGCAATTTAGTGAGAATTATGCGCCATCGATACCATTCTGCAGATGGCTTGGAGTAGGAGGTACATCTCGACTCCTACCAGTTTGAATTGTTTGACCTTTTTCGTTGAGAATAGTTACCATCTGCTACCTACCTCCTACTGGTATAAGTGCACACTAGGTACCTTGGTAATTTTTGCAATTCAGGATATCAATGTCGCTGTAATTATATATTCTTATTCGGTAGCCTCTTCTGTAAACCACCCTGGTACCATTGTACCCTTGCACAGCACCTGTCCAGCGCCACGCCATACGCCATACGTCAACTCTTCATGGTATCCCCAGCCAAGCTCCAGCTGCACCGCGTTCTCGCGTCTCCCATATCTCAACTCCTGTCTCCCTGCTCACCATCAACTCACCACGCAAACCAACCACGACTTAACGACTACACTACATATCGCGATGCCCGATCTGGCATAGCCTCAGCTCACGCATCTTGGACATCCTTTTTTTTCTTTTCTTTTTAAAGCGTCCCGCCCGTCCCTGAATGTACCGCCGAGCATACCCGCACCGCAAATAGGAAGAAACATCCGCCCCTCCGCAATCTCCAACTCGACATCGACACAACTGCGCACTCCAACTCTGCGCTTCCTACCATTCCTCTTGCTCTCAAATCGTCGCTGAGCTTGGCTTGCTATGTCTTGATGGACCCGGATCTCTGAGCCTAATATTTCCGCCAATACCTCCCTTTACCGCATTGCGTCGCGAACCGCCGCCCACAGAACCACATCGATAACCCCTTTCCACGAGCCGCCGCCAGAGCTCACGGCGATCGCGGCGCATCCCTCATAGACCGCCTCATACTGGAACACGGGGACCACGCTCGGTCCCCAGCTGCGCTACCGCCGCCATGGCTCCCGCAGGCGGTGGCAACATCAAGGTCGTCGTCCGAGTTCGTCCCTTCAATGGCAGAGAAATCGACCGCGGCGCAAAATGTATCGTCGAAATGAAAGACAACCAGACCGTCCTGAGCGCCCCCGACGGTCATGGTGGTAAAAGTGCAAAGGCCGAACCCCCCAAGAACTTTGCCTTTGACAGGTCTTACTGGTCCTTTGACAAGCGCGATTCAACTTACGCCGCCCAGTCTCACCTCTTTGACGATCTCGGCAAGCCCTTGCTCGACAATGCCTTTCAGGGCTACAACAACTGTATTTTTGCCTATGGCCAGACCGGCTCCGGAAAGTCCTACTCCATGATGGGTTATGGCAAGGAAGTCGGTATCATTCCCAACATTTGCCAGGACATGTTTAGCCGCATAAACCAGATTCAGGGCGACGCGACCACGAAATGCACAGTCGAGGTGTCCTATCTCGAAATCTACAACGAGCGCGTACGCGATTTGCTCAATCCTTCCACAAAAGGAAATCTCAAAGTCCGAGAGCACCCTTCCACCGGCCCCTACGTCGAAGATCTCGCCAAGCTCGTTGTCGGCAGCTTCCAAGAAATCGAGAACCTCATGGACGAAGGAAACAAAGCCCGTACAGTCGCCGCCACCAACATGAACGAAACCTCGAGTCGATCCCACGCCGTCTTCACCCTCATGCTGACCCAGAAAAAGTACGACGCCGAGACAAAGATGGAAATGGAAAAGGTGGCCAAAATCTCCCTTGTCGATTTGGCCGGTTCTGAACGAGCCACCTCGACCGGTGCTACGGGTGCGCGCCTCAAGGAGGGTGCCGAAATCAACCGATCTCTCTCGACCCTCGGCCGTGTCATTGCTGCCCTGGCCGACCTCTCGACTGGCGCCAAGAAGAAAAAGGGCGTCTCTCAAGTACCATATCGTGATTCAGTCTTGACATGGCTCCTCAAAGATTCCCTCGGTGGCAACAGCATGACTGCCATGATTGCAGCCATCAGTCCGGCCGACATCAACTACGACGAAACCCTCAGCACCCTGCGCTATGCCGACTCTGCCAAGCGCATCAAGAACCATGCCGTCATCAACGAGGATGCAAACGCGCGCATGGTTAGAGAGCTCAAAGAAGAACTGGCCCTGCTCCGCAGCAAGCTTGCCGGGGGCACGGTCGGAGCTGGCGGTATTCCAACACCCGCAGATGAAATATATGACGAAAGCACACCTCTGGAAAAGCAAATGGTTCGCATCACGGGCGCCGATGGCGTGGTTAGGAAAGTTTCCAAAGCAGAAATTGCCGAGCAGCTCAGCCAAAGCGAAAAACTGCTCACCGATCTCAACCAAACCTGGGAGCAGAAGCTTCAAAAGACCGAGGAAATCCACAAAGAACGAGAAGCTGCCCTCGAAGAACTTGGCATCAGCATCGAAAAGGGATTCATCGGTCTGCATACGCCAAAAAAGATGCCCCATTTGGTCAACTTGTCAGACGACCCATTGCTGGCAGAGTGCTTGGTCTACAACCTCAAGCCGGGTACTACCACTGTCGGAAACGTCGACACGAACGCGGATAATCAAGCAAATATTCGACTCAACGGAACCCGAATCTTGCACGACCACTGTACATTTGAGAATGGTGCTGATGGCACTGTCACAGTCATTCCCAGCGAGGGTGCCTCTGTCATGATCAACGGCAAGCGCATTACGGAAGCCACACAGCTGCATTCCGGCTACAGAGTCATTCTCGGCGACTTCCACATTTTCCGCTTCAACCATCCCATGGAAGCCAGAGCGGAGAGAGCAGAGGTCGGCAACAGTCTCCTGCGGCAATCCGTCACAGCAAGCCATATCCAGGCCTGGGAGAAGACATCACCAAGCCCCACGCCTGGATCACGCCCCGGTCATGAGCGCGCGTTCAGCAGAGTATCCGATTTTGGCGACATTTCTAGACCCGAGTCGCCATCTCTGCGCAATAATCGAGACTCTGACTGGTCTGCTGCGCGACGAGAAGCTGCTGGCGCCATCCTTGGATCCGACCAGACAAACTTTACCAGCCTTACGGATGAGGAGCTTAATGCCGTCTTTGAAGAGGTGCAGCGAGCACGAGCTGAACGTGTCAATGTCCGTGAGGATGGCGAGGACACGGAATCAGTCACCTCGTACCAGCTACGCGAGAAATACATGTCCAACGGAACACTCGACAACTTCTCTCTCGACACGGCCTTGACCATGCCTTCGACCCCCAGGCAGGGTGAAGCAGAGGACAGGCTAAAAGAGGTTCGCGAAGAACTCCAGAGCCAGCTCGAACAGCAAAAGGAAGAATTCCAACGTCAGCTTAAGAGTGCCGAGGCCGCCAATGTCGAAGTCGAGGAGATCAAGAAGGAAAAGGTCAAGATGGAGGCTGCTCTCCTGGAACTCAAGGATGACATGGAGCAACAGCTCAAGACCCAGAGGAAGCTCTTTGAAGAAAAGATTGAAAAGATGGACCCGCTCAAGCGACCCAAGGCAAATCCCAGGCTTTCTGAAGAGGAGCTGGGACAAGCAAGAAAAGTGGTTGGCATTTGGAGAGACCGGCACTACGTCAAAATGGCCGAGACGGTGCTACAAAACGCCTCGATCTTGAAAGAGGCGCAAATAATGAGCAACGAGCTCGACGAGAGTGTCGTTTTTCAGTTCACTGTTGTCGATGTCGGGCATGTCATGTGCTCCTCCTACGATATGGTTCTCAATGGCCTCACAAGTGAAGGAGAGGATGTGGCTCTCGAGGAGACACCGAAGCCATGTATTGGCGTCAGAGTTATTGACTACCGAAACCACGTTGTCCGGCTGTGGAGTCTGGAGAAACTACACGACCGCGTACGCCAAATGCGCCAAATGCATCAATATCTTGACCAACCTGAATACACTCAGCATCTCAGTCTGGACAACCCGTTTATCGAGCACTGCATGCCTTCGTACACCTTGATAGGCGAGGTTGACGTGCCTTTAAAGGCCGTCTTTGAAAGCCGTGTCCAAGACTTTGCCCTGGATGTTTTGTCGCCGTACACTTCTCACGCTATTGGCATTGTGAAGCTGTCGCTCGAGCCGTCTCATGCTCGAGCTCCCACAAACACCCTCAAGTTTAATGTCGTCATGCACGAATTCGTCGGGTTTGCCGAACGCGAAGGCACCGACGTTCACGCTCAACTCTTTCTGCCCGGCATTTCAGAAGAAGACGGCGTCACAACGACGCAAATGATTAGCGATTTTGACGAAGGTCCGATTCGCTTTGAGAGCGTGCACAATATGAGCGTTTCCCTCTTCGCTCCTCAGGATGTCGTGCTAAGAGCCTCCATTTTTGCCAAAGTTCAACCAATGCACCTCGATAAACTCCTTAGTTGGGATGATATGAGAGACACAGCCCCTCCGCGCGACGGTGCCAAGGCAAGCCGCATCAACGAGGCACAGTTTTATACACAAGAAAAACACGATTTGCTCTCTAGACTTCAAATTCTTGAACTCAACGAGATGGGAGAGTATACCCCGGTTGAGGTTACCCAGGTGAGCGAGCTGGACACGGGGACATTTCAGCTCCACCAAGGACTGCAAAGGAGAATTGCAATCAACATCGCTCACAGCTCTGGCGATGCCCTGCCTTGGGGCGACGTGACCGCTGTGCGTGTTGGGAAGGTTCGCCTCGTCGACTCTGGCGGTAAGACGCCAGACATGGGTGCGAATGAACCTGACATCCAACTACGATTGGTGTCGCATCCCATCTTCCGCCAAAACCCCAACGGCACTCGCAACATTACCGTCTTTGCGCAATGGGACTCAAGTCTGCACAACTCCCTGCTGCTCGATCGCGTGACGGCCGAAAAGTACAAGGTGCAGATGAGCATTGGCTGGGAGATAAGCTCTGAGAAACTGGCTGAACCCATGAAGTTTTCGCAAAAGGTTTGCCTTCAGGTTCTCTCGCGGACATTTGTGCGCCAAACATCCATGTTCTCGTCGCTCTGGCAAAACATGCGCTTCATCCGCTCCTCGACTGGCATCTTCACAATTACAATGCGGCCAGCACCAATTAAGCGAGTAGGCGACTTGTGGCGGATGAACAGCCAGCATGACTACGTCAAAGGTGAAGAGAACCTGGATAGCTGGAACCCACGAGGAGTGTCCCTGGTCAGTGACTTTATCTTGGCGCGAAAGAAGAGACGGCGCGTCGCAGAGATTGGTGCTGTGCACACAGTGCTCAATGTCCTTGGCATTGATCCTAGTGGGCAACCTCACACGGAAGCGTCTGAACCAGAGCCGGAGCCAGAAATTCAAAAGCCTGTGCTGCCCAACGATGACGATTTGCTGCATGATACCCCAGAAACGTCGCAGGTGCCGTCGCTAGAGGAGGAGGCGGCGAATGCGAAAGCTGCCAGTGGCGAAGCTGGGGAAAAGCCCGAAGCAGAGGCCGAAGCTGACGGCGAGGAGACAATCAAGGTTGAAGATCCAACGCCGCCGGCGAAACCAGAATACGACGAGCCACAAACCGAACTTTTACAAAAGTGTCTATCATTATGGGTCAAGTACCCCGATCCGCTCATCAAGATTCTCAGCCCTGCCAACACGACGGCCCCCACCAACGGTGTGACATCAGAGCCACCGGAACTTCCCAGCCTCATCACGACGGTGGTGCGCGTGCCCAAGAACCCCAAGGTGCTCAAGGGCGGCTACCTGCTGGTGCCCAACAGCGACTCGACACGGTGGGTGAAGCGTTTCGTGGAGCTGCGCCGGCCGTACCTGCACATTCACTCGGCATCAGACGGCGACGAGGTGGCCCTGGTCAGCCTGCGCAACTCGCGCGTTGACAGCCAGCCGGGAGTGCTTGCGCTGCTGAACGGACCCGACGACTATGACGCGGCGCCGGGCCAGAATGGCGGCGCCGACTTTACGCCCGGTCACCGGAGGACGGCTTCGGGGCGTGTAATTTCGACGATTTGGACCGGCAGTGGGGGAAGTAGTAGTGGTGGTGGGGGGCCCGGCTTGCAGCGACTGAGCGAGAGAATGCAGGCGGGCGTGTTTGCCGTCTATGGTACGGATAACACGTGGCTGTTTGCGGCGCGCAGCGAGCGCGACAAGATGGACTGGATCTTTCGCATTGATCAGACATACATGGCAGCCGGCGAGAGTCAGCCCGGCAGTGGCTTTGCCAGCCCGCTGCCAGGAAGCGACTATTAATGTATACAACAAAATCCGGCAAGGAGAAGGATGAAGATTTTCTCTTGGGACGCGGATTTAATGATGTCAACGGAAACTTGGTTCTTCTTGGCTCTTGATCAGGAGCATCTGATTGAGGGAGAAGAACAACATTGTGTCTTGCGTGTTTGGCGGTGTATTGTTCTTTTTTATATATATACCTCAAGGCGGGTTTTCATGGGCTGTTGCTTATTTTTCTTATTTAGGAAGTTGCTCACGACTTTATATATTTTTTCTTTTGTCTTAGATGGCGTGTTTGATTAGGAGAGAGAGAGAGAGAGAGGAAGCAGGATATGGATGGTTGTCGAAGAGAATGAACAAAGAACAAAGAAGCAAGATGGAATTATATACCCCCCTGCCGGCTAGTCGGACTTTTGAACAAGCTTGGTTAATGAACTATATTCTTGGAAGATAATACTTTTGGCTTTGTCATGCGGGCTCTGACTTGGCGTACTTGCTGTCTTGTGCCGGGGCTTTCTGTAGCTCTCACCACTGGCGGAAGATGCCAAGATTTGAGGCAACGCCGGACGGTGACCGAGCGTGCGCCCCCCCCCGCATCCAATATAGGCACACCTATAGGCTCCTCACGAGCTCCTTCCACTTCTTGGTCGGACTAGAAGACCCTACAGGCAAGGCGGCGCGCCTTGTCGCTACCCACGTGGCGAGGCTTTCTCGGTAGGACAAAGCCTGCCAATGGTTGCAGCTTTCACATCGAGTGTGTAGGGTAATACCGTACGATGGGGAAAATCTACCATGTGAGCTCCTAACTGCCGTATAATGACCCCGTGCAAGGGTGTATTATTCGATGAACAGCCAAGGATATGGATATGGATCTGCTTATTAGCCCTGGTATTGGGGAATGGATACCAATTCTTTTTTTTTTCGTTGGCTTCGTGCAACGTAGCATCCTTGAGCGTCAAGTTCAATAAGCTGTGAGCTCGGGGATTTTCTTGCTCCAACATCTGAGAATGGCTGTGAATATGCCGTGTCCAGCCCAACAGCGTGTGGTCACAAGCAAATGCCGAGCCAACCGCGCAAAAAAACATGGCTGTGATGTCACGAAAATGCGGCCGGAGTAACTAGTGAGTTGTCCCGTAGCCCGTCTTACATCTTTTCTTTTTCTCTCAACGTTACTACCCTCTACTTTGCGCCTCTTGGTTTTTGTGGCCGAGTGCATCTCGCTTCGCTTATTAGCCCTGGGTTTCGCTCCGACGGCGAGGAAAGCCTCTTGTGTCAGGTAGCGGGTTGCACATGATCAACAATAGCAAAAAATATCAAACAAACACAGGCGGCTAACGCGCTGGATATGCCTAGCCTTCTCTGACTAGATATCTTTGTAGTCTAGGACACCGTCCGGGCGGGGTATTGAGCACTGTTCTATCAGACGAGTTGTAGTAGTGTCCTGTTTCACCGCAGCTGCAGATCTGCCAAACATCAAACCATCTAGTTACAATCGTGTATGCATGGGATCTGATAAGACTTGCGATGGGACGTAGTTTGCTCCTATTCACGCCTGGGAGGCGCGCCATTCAATAGTTGCATCCTCACCGAGAACCTGAGCAGTGGAGGCAAAACTGTGTCTTTGCCAGCGGCGGACGCCGCCCCAACGATGCGGACGTTTCCGTGCGCGCGCTGCAGAGCCAGCCTATCATGGCACGACCGAGACGACCACGGGTCAGAAGCATGGCAGCCCGCAGCCCCCCCCCTGGCCAGCTTCATGCACTCGCTGGGGCCCGGCCCATGGGGCTGGCCGCTAGAGCGGACCAGCCCAGGTCGCCCGCTGACGATCGTCCCGGTGCAGCGGTTGGGCATTTCAGGTCAACTAGGGGGGACGTGTCTGTGTGACCGGACTGACGGGTTTGCTTTGGAACGCCTCGTCTCATGCGTGCGCGGTGGAAACGTCATCACGCCGGCTTTGAGTCTGCATGCCTGAAGATGAGAGGGTAGGGTGGTGGACTCGCCAAGAACACATGATGGGTTCCATGTCTCTGGATCTTTTGCGGGAAAAGGAAAAAATATATCGACCATGACAAGTTGGTGGATGCAGCGGATGTCCCACCTTGGCTCCGCGATCATCCCTGGCCGAGGGGGGGGACATGAACAAACAAAACGGTCAAGTGATGGGACCATCCAAAGACGAGATGGGTATACCCAAGTCGTGCATGTATAATCTGTACATGCCGTCCCTTTCACGCGCTCTGGGACGTATTCCCGGCGATCGTCGGCCAATATTCTGGGCATGGCAGTGCTTGACTCGACAGACGCAGCCACGGCTCCTTGCGCAAATTACAGGGACTAAAAGTTCAACACTGGTCCGCTCCGGTGTGGGGGTGTCCATCTTTGTTCCTTGACAAGGCTTTTCGTTCTCGCGCCAGAGGCTTCCGTGACTGGTTCTGGGTGGGTGGAGGTTGTCGGCTCGATCTTGCTGCACATTTGTGTACGTTTAGTCCTTCTCGTATAGAGCAGGCTAGAAGATAGTGAGGGTGAGAAGTAGAAAACTAAGAAGAACATGGCGGTTAAGAACTCTCCAAGTCATCATTGGCCAAGTCAAGTGGTGAGGAGGAGGATTGGTCCCCCCCCCCCCCCCGGCCCTCAGCCGTGGAGAGAGGGTCAGTGCTTTCGGCTTCCCATGTGCCAAAAACGCGTTCCCGTAACCAAACCGTCGGGTTCGGGTGCCCAGATATTCGGGACCCGCGTTGCTTCCCCCCTTGTTACCGCCCAGGGGAGGCCCAATTGGTCCCCACTGGTCCAGTCAAGCCCGGAAACGATATTTCTACTCTACTGCGCCCTGTGCGGTCTGAAAACCTCTGCTAAATTTCCGCCTTGAAAAGAGGTCTGGGGAACAAGAACACGCCCGGTGACATCGGCGAGGACTCAAGATAACTCCTGTTCCTCTTGTCGTGGCAAGGTGACAGACATGCCGCACGTCTTCGTCAGTGAGTCAGTGTCATCAATTTGGGCTAAAAGAGAAATCGGGCAAAGGTTGGCGTGTCTGAGACACAGGCTGGCTAACTCACCATTCTTTGCTGGGTTCCGCAATGTTCTTTCCGTGGCTGTGATGACATGACCATGTTCTCCTTTTTGTAGTTCATTGTCTCTTGCGCAGTGACAAGACAACGAATTGACTGAAGTACAGGAAAAGGGGCCTTGAAGAGTCTGCTACGATGAGGAAGAGGCTTATTAGTAGCACTCCATTAGGAAGGGCCGTCTACCCACCAAAATGAATAGTGCGCACCACTCGGACATCAACCCCATTCATCTCATCCTCCTTGTTACTACAAATCAGGCTACTTGGCTTTTGTTGTTTCAAGCGCGCATGGCGCGAGTTGCTGAAAAGACGGTAGAGCAGGGCGGCTCGGTTGGCTCAAGCTAATAAAAGCGAACCTAACTAGGGTATTTGATCGAGGGCACAGCGGAAGAGCACGAATACTCGTATTATTATTAGAAATCGTATGATGCTCTCGAGTAACTTAGTGCGGTATTCCTTTTGAGCATCCTGGCCTGCAATTTGCTCTCCTCTGGTTGCAAAAGCAAAAAAAAAAGCCGTCCTTGGAAACTCGGGGGCTGGAGAGACAAACCTGCAGCCTGCGAGCAGTCTTTATTAATGACTGACCCCTACCCATAGAACCGTCACCCATCGCCTGACGCTGGTGCCATAGTAATGCAGGATACCTGCAGGATACCTGTAATATGTACTCCGTTCTCTACCAGTCAGCGCTGAGAAACCCGTCTCCTGGCACTTTTGTATAATTCCCTCTTGTGCTGGGAAACGAAATCAGCTGCCTAGTCTCGCATTAGTGTCCTGCAAGTGCTCGATGGGTAGGTTTGTTAGCTCGTGGCAGGGTCAGTCAGCCCCAGCGGCCCAAGAGTGTCGGCCAGTTTCAACTTCAAACTGCTGAAAGAAGTGTGCGAGTTTTTGCTTCGTCATCACTTGGCAAAGACAACATCACTTCTACTCTCACAGGTAGGTCTATCAAGGGTGGGAAAAGAAGCTACAGCCTGCAGAATCTGCATATGCAGCGACATCCGTGTAGCCGATCCGATACGCATCGAGCCAGGACAAAGAAATGGCTGCCGAAAAAGCCTCGACCGTCGACCCAGATTACCGGGACGTTGTTCTCGCCCCGTATTGACTAAACAAAAACGAGAGAAGGGAAAAGCGAACATGTTTCTCACCCAGCCCCCCCCTTGTCCCGCGCGAATCCACCAGGCTGGGTTGGTACTTGAATTCATTGCCCCCCCCCCTAACCTAATACTCCGTAGTAAACGGCTGCTGGGGGCGCCACTGCAATTAATCCAGAGGGCGGGAGACCCGGTGGCCTGGAACCTACCCGCTAAGCTAGCCCTTTGGTCTTAGACCTGATGCTGAACCATTTCCCCGGAACTCGGGCAGCCTGTGTGCGTGTGTGTGTGTGTGCCCACGCCGCCACTGCGACAACAACGCAGACTTTCCACAGCCACTTCTCTGCCGTTTTTGTTTTATCGTATAGGCATCCTCTATTTTGTTTCTGGGCCTGAACTTGTTTGTCTGCTCCCCTGGGATCAAGTAGTTCATACTAGACTCTACATTCCACGCTGGCCGATGGATAAGAGATTTTGAATCAAGAGACTTGCGTTAGGGGCAAAAGGTCTTGCTTTCAAGGTGGACCGTACGGGTGGAACCTGCCACGTCTTGGGCCTTTTGCCGTATAAGCCAACGCTCTTGCCGCAGAGCCTCTATGCTCCGCGCTCCTCACAGCTCGTCCGTTCCGCGGTGGTCGGCACATCTTTAGTTCTCGCTCCGGCATCACTCGTCGATCTCTCGCCTCTTTTGCAGTTGGGATATGAATAATCACATTTCGGCTACCGCCCGGTGCTTAAAGCTACGATCATACTGATTCAGCGGCGAAACTGTCCCTTGACCCCCCTCGACTTTGGTTTCGGCTGGGCCAGTTCCCGCCACAGCCGGAGAAAAAGGAGCAAAACGATCCAAACAGAACTTGTTGCAGGGATTGATCTTCCAAGGGACTAAGAGTCCTACTAGGACAAACAGCCCGGAGCGTGGTAGACCAAAGCGTTCTATTTCTTGCCCATAGGGGATCAAACTGCACAAGACTTCCAAGACAGATCTACAAGAGGAACACACGCTGCACATACATAATGTCCGGATCCAACTCTCCCAGTCAAGGAAAAGGAAGTGGACAAAATAACTCCAGAGACTTCAGCCAGTACGAATTCTCCTTCAACTATTCGTTACCCTCTGCCGAAATAGAACCCGATGTAAGCATTTCTCGGGAGATCCAACAACAACGAACGAAATTCTAACCATAATCACTAGCCAGCAATGGACGACATGTGCGTCTATTGAAGAAGACGGAACACCTTTCCAGAAGCTAACAGAGTATCAGTGTCGGATCGTCATGGTCGCTTTCAGAGAGCATCAGAAACTTCCCAACAGAGTTTGGCAGAACATATCACGCATACAAAGCTGGCTGTAAGCTCACAGGGCCCATATGGGACTTGAAGACGTTTTATGATGGAATAGACAAGCTAACGGTTTAAAGCATATGCCTTCCCCAACGACACAATCGAACAAGAACGCCTACTTCTCCAGTTTAACGCCATGACCCGACTTTTTGGAGGAAAGTTATACTTTGCACCCCTATCGGCTCAGAATCCACCACGCCTAGTGCTCGATATAGCAACGGGAACGGGAGACTGGGCTATTCAAATGGGCGACGAGTTTCCACAAGCACAGATTGTGGCTACGGACTTGTCTCCTATACAGCCAGAAGATGTACCGCCCAATGTGTCTTTCTTTGTTGAAGATTCGTAAGTCATTCGCTTTTGGTGGACCAAGGTGTTGTCTGGATCGAAGCGTCAGCGATAATATCTAACAAATCCTGGGTTAGATCCGAACCATGGGAGTACTCTGAAAGTTACGACTACATCCATACCCGAGTCACCTCGGGCTGTTGGTCGTCTTTTGAGGAACAGATTGCCAAGCAGGCGTTCGAAAACCTGCAACCCGGCGGATGGTTCGAATCGCAAGAGTATGATAGCATCATCACTAGCGACGACGGCACACTATCTCCGGACTCGGCACTGGCCCGATGGTTCCACGAACTGGCTACTGCCGGCGACTTGTGTGACCGACCCACTGTCATGGCACACAAACTTCGTGAGGTGTACGAGCGTGTGGGCTTTGTCGACGTACAGGAGCGGATCTTCAAGATGCCGACCAACGCATGGCCAAAGGACGAGAAACTCAAGGAGATCGGATGCATGTGGGAGAGAAACTTCATGTCCGGTCTGGCCGGCTTCTCATTTCGCATGTTTAACAAGGCATTTAGCAGAACGCCGGAAGAGATTGAGGTATGGTTTCCCGACCACAGGCTGTCTCGCTGTACTAACATGGTGATAGGTAGCACTAGTCGATGTCAGACGGGAGTTCTCCGACCCTCGAATACATGCGTATCTGCCTATTTGGGTTGTTTGGGGACGGAAGCCGCACCCAAACGAATAAGAGAAGTTCACGGGCAAATAGATATGGGGAACATGTAGATGCGGGCGATAGAATAGGATATGGAGTTTTCATTGTTCATTTGTATCACACAATTACCATTGCATAACAAGACACTCTCGAGGCTTTCAGCTAGGACTGGGACTTGGATGCTATATTTCGACTCCATTTTGGTAGAGTGATTCCTCTTTTTCGGTAGAATACTTTATAGTAATCTGTTTGTGCTGCCCTGATAGGAAATGAGAGAATTGATGAGCCCCGAATATTACGACAAAACTCGAGGTTGGGTGGACATGAAGCCCTTTTTGGAGGTAGGGATGCCGCTTTTGGAGGCCAAGTTGCGAAGCGCTGGCCGCTAGGCCCACACCCACCATAACAGTTAGGCGCACTCGACTCAGTAGCGCCTATTAATTTTCATAGAGCTGTGTAGGGTACTTGGAGGAAATGTAACTTAATACTCTATATAATATATCTAAGAAAAGGAGAAATCTCTATCTTACTATAATTGTCAAGGGCTGGGCTACGTCCAGCGCGAGTGGTAGGTGCAACCGGACAACAACCAGCCAGTGTTGTACGAATCCGTTTGCCTGCTTCCGTGGCTTTAGTGGATTATGGCTTACGATATATTCACGGCACCAGTGCTGGTTGCCACTGGAGCCCTGCCGGGCCGTTCCGTACCTTCAACAAGCTGGTCGCATATATGACACCACAGTATGTATGACAACCCGTCCGTGTGGGTGGGTACCTGGGCCTTTCAGAGTGAACGTTAGCCTCTTAGATGCTCATGTTAGCCGCTGGCTTTTCACGCACCTGTGAAGTGAAGTGTGGCAACCCGTGTTGATACGTCACGGCCCTGCAGGTCGCACCAGGTCGCACCAGGTTGCAGGTGGTCGACCAGGCAGCAATAGGAAGCAACTGGAAGGAATGCCAGCTCATCCCCGCCAAGCCCTCGGGGCATAAATAGGACCCCTCTCCCTCCCGTCACCGAAGCTGGGAAAAGAAAAACACCACAAAAAAGCAAAGAAAAAAAACCCCCCGAGAATAAAGAACGATTACCACACTCATCTTGCGTTCTCGCCTACGTTCTCACCCACCTGCAACAGAAGCCGTCACTATGCCAGTCAATAAAGAGGCCCTTGAGAAGTCCGCTATTACACCTGATAACGAGGAGTGGGATGCCACATACGACCGACTTGAAGCAAAGAAAAGAGAGGCTGAAGCTGTAATGAATGTCGAACTGGCTACACGTGAAAGTTTGAGCAAGAGTGCGAGTAGCTCGAGGCTGAAACGAGCCAAACCTGAGGTAGCGTCTGTGTCAACGCAGCTGAACGAGGTCGGGCTTGTAAAGTGTGACCTGGACGGAACCTGGGTGCGAACTATGGAAAAGCACAAAGAGGTCTATAATGAAATGACAAAGACGAACGATGGCAAGGATAGCAAGGACGGGAAAAAAAAATACAACTAGATAGTGATGGTATTTTACTTGTCGGATTCGTACATGCCTGAGTCCTTCAGATGCTGGGTCCAGATTATGTTCTTTTCCGCAATCTCCCTCGCTTTTATGGCCATCTCCGGGTTATCTGCAAAAAATGTAGATTCCGCCTTCTCCAGGTTGTCCCCTGGCCTCTTTTTCTCAAAATAGTCGGCGAAGACTTGGGTTATATCGGAAGGATGGCGAATGAGGCGGGCCAGGTAGCAGAGCTCACCGAACCCTGGTTTGCCATACCACTCCTGGTAAAGTCGCTCAAATCGAACATCTTGAAGCGAAGCAGCTTGTAGCTCTGGAACGAACAAGTTGGTCAGCTTCTCCAGTCCCGGGGCTTGATAAATGGCCCATAACGGCGGCGTGAAGAGTCGTAATGGAACAATATTTGCAAATTCCCAATCAATAATGCCTAAAATGTTCAAGTCTTCATCGACGAGAATATTGGCTAAATGTAAGTCGGCATGGTTCAATACAAAAGGCTCGTCAGTCGAGGCATCCACGTCTGAAGCGAACTCGTCAAACGACGTCTTGACCGTGTGGAGAGCGAATAGCTCATAGCGACTGTCTGTCTCTGAGTAGTCTGCGATTGGGATCGTAGCTTGCCGTTGCAATATGTCAAATTGAGAGAGTATATAGTCCTTTGCAGTGGTGAAGGAAGGCAGTTGAAGTCGAAAGCTGTTTGTTGAGAACGACATTAGATTGCCCACCGACGGCGACGCAGTGGTGGCAGGCATCAGTGAGCCCAGCTGTTGAAACTCCAGGCTTCGTAGCTGGGCAAGGTAGTCAAATAGTTGCAGGAAAAATCGCTTTCGTGCAGCGTCATCAGCGTCTGCTAAGCGATCGGAGTAAAGTGGTGTGCCTCCCACGAATTCAGAGATAAGAAACGACTGATGTTGTGTCTTATCATCGGTCAAAGTCGCATCATCTCCAAATGCGCAAACCACAGGCACTGGGATGGACGTCTGTGAGCGGATGTATCTTGGTCTGTTAGCACACTGCCTGGCGTTGGCGTCGTTGTACCTACCTCAGCGTCGCAACCTCACTCAGTATTTTATCCCAAGGCCTGTACAATCGTGGGGTAATAGGAATGCGAACAGTCCACGAGGGCCCCTCTTCAAATACCACAAAATAGCAGACGTTAAAGCTGCCATGCAAGCGAAAGAAGACCCTGCAAGGTTTCCCGTCATTATACCGCGAAGCGAGGGCCTCGATGGCATCCGTCTGGAGCGATTCAAGGAACGCGTCGGCTGCTTCCCTGATGGCCTTGGGAGCTGGTGGAAATTGGTCGGCGCCACGTTCGACGTCAATGACCTTTATTCCATAGATCAGCCTTCGCCAAAACGTGAGCAGAACTGATCTCGCAGACGTCCAGACGGACAGTAAAGCACGAATGAGATCCATGCCGTCCACGGCTTGCTAGGCCCGAGGAGGATACGCGTGCTGTAATTATAGGGGCAGGAGGGAAGGTTCCACAACCGACCCTTTTAGTCAGCCAGCACCAGCCTCAGTCAACCACACTCACCACACTCCACACTGGGACCCGTCCCATTCGATCAGACTTCACCTGGAGAACAATGCTCCATAATTCCTCTCATTCGTCTGCCCGAAATCGGGGACCGCTCCCAACAATCACCACAACCCCCTCCCGCCGAATTGCCGCCGTCGATTTATCCTGCAACCTCCAATTCGATCCGATTCGGAATATCCATGGCCTTCCGACTGGCCCGATCGAATCGGATCGGCCTGTTGCGGGCTCCGTCACAGTCACAGGTGACGGCGGCCAGCGGCTGTCTCGTGTGCGCGCTTCCGACCATCCGCAGAGCCTTGCACAGCTCAAGACAACGACAGGACCGCGGTCCTCTATATTCGAACAAGAAGGAAAATACTCCACAGCACGTCACAGGAACATGGGAGAGACCATCAGACTTTCAGCGGCCGTGGCAGCACAGCCCGCGGGGTGATGAGGGGTACCAGTCCGAGTCTGGCGATGGATCCTGGCGGCCTCCGCGCAAAACGGCGCGCGAAGCAGCATCCGGGCCGCAGTCCAAAGTGGCCGTGGCAGCGGTGATGCTGGCGGCTGTGGTGTTTTACGTGTGGAACTCACAAACGATACCGCTGACGGGACGCTCGCGCTTCAACTTTTTGTCGGACGAGATTGCGGAGCGCATGCACCCGCGAGCGGTGCAGAGCATCCTCAAGCAGGTATACGAGGCTGGCGGGTACATCTTACCAGAGAACGACACGCGGACGCGGATTGTCAAAAATGTCATGCGGCGGCTGATACCCGTGAGCGGACTGGCGGACCTGGAGTGGGAGATATACGTCATTGCAGATGATTGTGAGTTTGGAAGGACGAGGGCCGAAGGATCGAAGCAAGACAGCAAAATGCTAACCATGTTCCTGTAGCCCAGGCCAACGCCTTTGTGCTGCCTGGCGGCAAAGTCTTTGTATTCAGCGGACTGCTCCACGTGTGCGGCAACGAGGACGCCCTGGCGGCGGTGCTGGGCCACGAGGTGGCGCACCAGACGGCGTCGCACACGGCCGAGCGGCTGTCGCAGGCGTGGGTGGGCAACCTGACGACGGGTGCGCTCTTCTTCCTGGTCGGCACGTTGCCCGGGCTGGCGCTCTTTGCGATTTGGACGGCGACGGGCGCGTTTGTGCTGCCAGCGCTCATGTACGAGCTGCCAATGAGCCGCACGCACGAGTACGAGGCGGACCATATTGGACTGATGATGATGGCCGAGGCGTGTTATGATCCGCGCGCGGCGATTCCGTTTTGGCGACGCATGAACCAGCATGGGCAAGAGATGGAGGAGGTGCTGAGCACGCATCCATCGGTAGGTTCTCTCTCTTTTTTTTTTTCGTTTCTTCTTGCCTTTTCTGGCCCTTGTTTTCTCGGATGCCTTGCCTCAATTTTGTTCCGCTGTTTTCTGTTCTGGTTGCGAAGAATGAAGAACTAATTCACATGACTGGCAGAATGACCATCGCGTGGCCAAGCTCACGCAGCTCATGCCAGAGGCCTTGGCGAAGCGGGAGCAGAGCGACTGCAGAGGAACCGACTCGTTTGCGCGACGATTCCGGTTTGCGGTTAAGCAACGACAGTCTGAAATGCCACGGCCTGAGGAAATGGTGTGACGTTGTGGTTTTCGCACGCCATCATAGTTGGTGCAGTGTCACCGTCCTTTTCTTTCAGGAAAATACTAGAATTTAAAGCTATAGAGTAATCAATTGTAAAAAAGAGTTGTCCATTCGCATTTTCAGACAACCGGGGAGTAATTAGAGCCCATACCCTGCGGCTATATGAGGGCTGGTAGGCGAGGTAAGTTGCCTACGGACCACCCCGCAAGAACGGCGACGGGCTGTTACCAATAGCAGGGCGCTCATAGGCCGTAGGCAGAAATGACGTCCGCCGGCCTTTGTTAGCGGGAACTCTGTGCGCTGGTAGTTTGCTGGTGTAATCGCACTGGGAGCGTTGCTTGTGGGGGTGCGCAAGCCGAGCCGAGGTTAATGTGTGCTTCATAACGTTACCAGGCCTTTCCGTTCTTAAGGACAACGGCTGGCCCTCCTTTTCCTCTCCTCCACACTTTTTTTTGAACAATCTATTCTTTTTGACTATTTCGCCAATTAACCACCTCTTCTACGACCCCAATACCTTGCGACAACGCCTATCGATCGTCCACCAAACAAAACACCGCCATCATGTCTCAGTCATACGCCGCCGCCGAGGTCAGCAAGCACAAGGACAAGGACAATGGTCTGTGGCTCATCATCGAGGGCAACGTCTATGACGTGACCAGTAAGTACATCATCGCCTATGCGACAACGTCGGAGAGGAAGAGGGAAGCGGGCGCTGGCTCGCGCGCGCGCGCGCTGCTGTTTTCACAAGCTTCGGCCCCCCCCGCGACCTCGGCAACCGACCGCGAACCCCATTGATCCTGAACAAACAGGCCGTCTTCCTTGTCAAGAATATGATTCTAACTGTCATTTTTTTCTTGTCTAGAGTTTGTCGACGAGCACCCCGGCGGTGCCCGCGTCATCCAGCGCATGGGCGGCAAGGACGCCACCAAGGCCTTCTGGAAGTACCACGGCGAGAGCGTGCTGGCCAAGTACGGCGACCGGTTCAAGATTGGCACCGTCGCCGAGTCGGCCAAGCTATAATCCTATCACGCACGAAACAAGAAAAAAAGATGGCACGCGACACACAACGATGTTTTGCACGCGGGAAGGGAGGAACGGCCGCAACCATACTGCTTGCTGACTCCCCCTCCCATCGCTGAAGCCAACGTCATCAGCAGCCAAACTGGACTGGGTCGGTCGGAAATGGAAGCAAATTTTCCAGAGACTTCGGTCGGGCGCTGCCAGCATATTTGTACAATTTTTTAGAGATTGGAGATGGGTGGGATTTATTGTTGCCTTGGGTGCAGACATGTTGGTGCAATGGGATGTGCCGAATTCGGCTGGCAAACAGAATCATAGACGGCTGAAATCAGATAGCATAACGCAAATACACGGACCAAGAGTATATACCGTGTATCCGGCTGTGCCCTCCATTGGCCATCTTTGGTCATCTGTCATCTCACTACAATTCCTATTTCAGCCAAGGCGCAGAGTCATGATGGTGTAGAATTGGTCAAAAATGCGGCAAATAATCGACCGAGGCGGCATCTCCATCCACGCACATGCCTGCTGTCTCAGCGCAACTGTGGCGCAACCCAGCGACTTGGTCATCACGCTGGCAGGGCTGTCTTGAAGAGCAAGGCTAGCGTCCTACAGTTGTATGTTGCCAGCTGGTAACTTATCCAGTCCGATCAACTCCCCTCCTTGGCGCCCACCCCCGTTATCGGTCAGCCCTTTTCAATCTAGATTCTTCCCGCCTATCGATTTGTACAAGGAAGAGGCAGAAGAAGCACAACAAACCGGAGCTGCGTACCCTTCTGCTCCAGGCCTTGATGCCTATATGGCACCCCATGGCGAACACGATGGACTTGTCAGCAACAGCCGCAGCGACATCAGTAGCAGCGACGGCCATGATTGTGTCGGTACCGAGCTGACCAACAAGGGCACCGTCCGCCAGAAGCGATGGACTACGAGGGGCAGGACGGGCTGCCTGACGTGCCGGTTCGTATTCCTGGGGAGGGTTTCTCTGACGCCCGCATTGGAATGAGTGTTGGTCGCTAACGCTGTCCGTTTGCTAGCACTCGCTACATCAAGTGCGACGAGACAAAGCCCGTCTGCTGGCGCTGTGCCCGGTTACGACTTTGGAGGCAGCCCGGCCACGATGCCGAACACGCGGAGCGCGGAAGAAGAGAACAAGGCAGCGGCCGAGAAGCGCGCCAATGAACTCGTCCAGGAAGCGGCCGCTGTTCGGCGGCGCTTTGTCGTCGAGCCGGAACCCCCTGACTGGGAGTGCATGGAAGCGGCTCGATACTGTACATCTTCTCTTTTACGCCCCCTGTTCCATGCGCGCCTGTACCTCCTACTTATCCTGGCGCCACAGATTCCGTCTTTGTGATGCCCTGCTGTGAAGAGCAGCTCATGACGCCGTTCAAGGGCCTCCCGCCCTGCCATGGCCCGAGCCGCCCCATCTTCCTGCTCGATGTCAGCAGCCACCGCATCGCGGACGCGTCCAAGGCGCGCGGCAAGGTTCTGCGCGCCGCAGAGGACCCGGGCGTCAACGGGGCGTGGGCGAACCACTCGCGCCACATGATTGAGATTCTCTGCTACGTCAACAAGGGCCTGTCGGACAGGCGCGGCCGAATCGCCGACGGCGAGTGCGCCAAACCGGCCGTAAAAGCCATCGTGCGAGACCACTTTAAGAGCATCAGCGCATTCGACGATGCGGCCTGGGTGAAGACGGTAACGTCTGAGCTGCCAGCCAAGGTTCAGACGCTGGGATGCATCTTCCAGGTGGCGGTGCGACTGTTTGGCGTGCTCTCGCTGCCGCCGTCGGCCACGGTGGCCTGGGATGACTGCTTTGACAAACCAGTACCGCCGCTGACATAGGTGAAGAGAAAAGGTGCCGCGCAGGTGAGGACCATGCTATATAAGGGGGGTGTTATATATGTATCCCTATGCTGTCGCTGCGGTGGCCGACGTTATCAGCTCTGTATAAAGGCTATAGCTATCCGTACAATTGATCTGTTCAAAGTCCAACTTGAACGTCTGCCTACGAGATATTGATTCAGATGACCACAAAAGTGAAACAACAGCTGAAAATAACTCCCGTTTCTGTCTCCCGCAAAGGAGCGTATCTGCATGCTTTCGTTTCGAGATGTTGCCGGTCGATCATTCGTTAAACGAACGGTGCGCGCACCACACACACACGCCCACCGCCCGCTAACTAGGTACCTGTAGGTACCTGTAGTCGTGCTCGAGTTGAAGCAGGACAAACCAAACCACACCAAACACCAGCCGCACTCCAACTGCGGCGTCGGAGGGGCCTGTATTAAAGGGCGCCACTTGCCCCGTACATCCCGCCGCACACTCTCCACCGTACCGTTAACTTTATCATAACCCCGTCCCGCAATCTCAGATCCGGGAGCCCATCGCCATGGCCATCAATCATTCCATCATGGCCTGCCAGATTTTGCTCGACTTTTCCCCGCGCACCATCAGTCTGACCCTGAGCGATACGAGCTGTCCTGAAGCGCCGTTGGGCCGCACGCAAACGGGTGCGGTGCGGCGTCGCCGATGGACCCCACGAGCCAGAACAGGTTGCCTTACGTGTCGGTGAGTTGGCCGTTTTTTTTTTCCTTTCCCATCGTCTTATTTATCGACCTCTATCCGCTCAGCCGAGTGGTTTCTGCCGTGCCTCAAACCAGCTTGTGTGGATTGTGCCCTTGCTCTCCCGTATCATTGTCATCTGATGTTGTAGTAGTACCCGTCGGGTCAAGTGCGACGAGGAGAGACCAGTCTGTCGCCGCTGCACATCGAGCCGCGTTACGTGCCATGGCTACCAGCTTCCCTCTTCAGAAAAGACCAAGCCGCGGAAGAGTGCAACCGAGGTCGGTCGTCGTGCGCTGCAGACGCCGCCGGACACGCCGCCGCCTCGCAGCGAGACGACCGCTCTGCAGCCGTTTGGCAGCGTGCACAGTCACAGTATCAATGTCGAGGCGGAGCCTCCAGACTGGGACGTGCAAGAGAGTATCCGTTATTGTAGGTCGTCTTATCGTTGGCTTGGGAACACTTTGACTGATTCCAACGCAGACTTTGAAATTGTCGTGCCGGGGCGCACTGCTGAAGTGCGAACTGGGGGGGATCCTGATTTCCATGCCAAGACGTTCCACTTCTCTAGATTCATCTCCCAAGTGATTGGGGACCAACTTTCCAGAGCGTCCAAAGCACGGGGTGAGCTGATACCGCCTGGCCGGTATCCCGCGTTTACAGGCGTCTGGCTCACCTACGCGCGCTATTTGAGCTCTAGCATAAATGTGGTTAACCGGCATATCCAAGACTCCGACGCGAGCACATCCTGGGATGTATTCTTTGGCATTGACCAGCTTCTTGTGCTTGATCTCTACGTCGAACGATCGCAGTGGCAGGGTCATCTCCGAGGGTTCTTCGAATACATTGGACATCAAGGAGGTATTGCGGCGGTTCTTGAGCGGCCTGAGCCCCCATTCTACTGCCTCAATCATGTACTAGCGTGAGTGGCCTTGATCTTTTGTCGATATCCCGCTGTCTAATTATTGTGATTGGCCGTGCGGTTCCTTGCTGACTCTGTGGACTGCAGCATCGCCATCAACGTAAACACCACTAGCCCTGCGACGCAACAACTCCACGGATTCGACGACTATACGGATGATCAGATAGTATCTGTGCTTGAATGTGCCTACAGCACTTCTATGCAGTGTCCTACAGAGCTTTACCTTGCCCTGGTGCACATTTCCAGGCTACGAGCCAAGCTGGCTCAAAGAGACACGAAACCAGACAAGTCGAGTATCGAGCAAAAGGTACGGCACATCTTGGACTCGGTCTCCCGCTTCGACGCGGACGATTGGGCAACCAAGCCCATGTTCCGAGATCAAATCGACACAGTAGCAATAGCCGGGCGCATCTTTGCCATTGCGGTCCGGCTGTACGGCATCCTGACACTTCCGCCCTCGGCCGTTGCCGCGTGGAGTGTGGCCTCTGAGTTATCGCAGCCGACGAGCGCATCCGCCCCAGCCGCAGTATACGACGCCCTGCGTATCAGCCAGCGGAGGGAGCTGCTGGCGCTTGCGCGGCAGTCGTGGGGCCGGCTCAAGCACACTACGTCACTCTGCTGGCCGCTAGTTGTCGCTGGCGTGGCCTTTGCCGACGGCGCGGCCGCCGACCAGGACTTTATCGAGACGTCGCTGCTGTCCATCTGGAGCCTGCCCAACACGTCGGCATGCTTCATCCTTACGATTCGCGCGCTGCGCCGGTTTTGGACGAGTGGCAAGACGGGGTGGGAAGACTGCTTCGATCAGCCGCTCGCATGTGTGGTGTAAAGCAGAACCCATTCTCAGCTTCACCCGACCTTTGGTGTACGCATGATAGAGAGCACACAAAAGTCTACTTGTTTTTCGCAGCTGCCGCCGAAGCGCTGACTTTCGCTTCACTCGGGTAGGGATTTGCGTAGAAGATGAAACTGGTGTACATGACAGCTACTGCAGGACGCAATTGGCTAGCTACCCAATTTTAAAATTTCGGCTCGTTGATCAGTTCAGCCTTACGCATTTATGCCGCGCCCAAGTGAGCATCCACTCGAAGCCGCGCTCTAGCCTTGCCGGCGTCCGGAGCGGGCTTCCCCGCTCGCCGTATAAAGTGCGACGAAACCAGACCAGTTTGTAGGCGCTGTACCATAAGTTGCATCACTTGTTGAGCATCAAGGGGGTGCGGCGGCGATTATGCGGTTGCTGAAGCCTGAAAATTCACGGTTATCACCGACATTGTCGTACGTTGCATTGGAGGCAGGAGTATCCAATTTACGGGAATGCCACTAGAGGACGTTGTCGCCCAGCTTTACTATGCATAACAACACGCACTGCCTGGCGAAGGAGCAGATTCAGGGCGCCGACAACTTTACCGACGATGAGATTTGGACGCTTATTGACTTTGACCCGAGCAGGGCGAAGCCGTGCCTGGGTGAGCTTCACCTGGCGCGGGTGTGCAGCACGCGGCTGCGCGTCGCCGTCGCCTGCCACGAAACGTGTCCGGAGCACGACCCTGTTGTGGCAGCCAAGATGCGGGTCTTTTCACTGTTCTGTGGACGTTAGATCTGGACAAGGGGGTGGAAGACACGGGACAAGGCGCGCCTTTTGGCACTCGTGTACGCCGTTGCCTATTCAGCTCTACGGTATACTGACGCTGCCGCCGTCTACCGTCCGGACCTGGGCGGCGTCCTCGCCCGACGTGAGCCTCTGCTATCCGGCCACGGACAGAGGCAGTGGCTGGCGTGGCCGCTGACGGTAGCGGGGGACGATGAGGACGCGCAGGCGATGCAGGCGTTTGTGGATGAGTGCCACCTGGCCATCTGGAGGATGCCCGACGTGTCCAACTCGTCCATCACGGCGCTGGACAAGCTAGTCACAGGTGTTTTGCGGCCCGCACTTGACGGAGGATTGCTTTGATGAGGCCATCCCATCGGCGATTTGAAAAAGCAACGACTTGTGAAAGAAGTTGACTGGATTTGAAAAGCAATTAAACAGTTTTGGGTGGAGAATGATGCGAGACGGGCGACTGGCTTTGGAACCCTGCTGGACCCTGGTCGCAAGCGAGAAGTCTTATCCACTTAAATATGCATAAGTACGTGCAGTGCCGTACTCGTGTACATAGTTACTGATACGAGTTGAAGGTCTTGATGCAATCTGATAGGATGATTTGCCGGCCCAAGGTGTCGGTTCACTGGCCGCGCTAACACGATGGAGAATACGCTTCTTTTTACTTTGTAATACAAGAATACAAGCCTCGGAGAAGTTTCACTCAGCAGAGTTCGTGGCTTAATAGCTGGCTTTTCCGCTGCTGCATCGACATGTTGTGACTTGGGGGTAAAAGCCATGAGAAGCCACCAGAAGTTGAGAAATGACGAGTAACATGGCTGTGGAGCCCTGAAGCCTGTCGCGGATAAAATCCATCCTTGAAATCACGCAATTCTGGCATACTAGTGTACTCGGCAATCAAGTGAAAACTCGGTGAAGGAAGTTTGCCTCAACGATTCGTCTGCGATGATACGAGCTAGGCTCTGGGCGACGGCCCGCCACCCCGCGAAATCGGACGCTAGGATGGATCGCTGTAATGATCGCTGTAATGATCCGGACGTGTGAAAGCTTGTCGTTGCGGAGTATTTTGTATGGGTTACTTGCCGTAGTTATTGCACAGGACAGAGTTTTCCATGGGGTGCAAAGGAGATGGATCCGGCGGGTTCCGACACCCAATACGCGCATCCCCGAGTTATGTATTCGGCATTGATCAGCTCAAGCCATGTTTCTGGTATGCTATTGAAGAATGCACCGGATGGACAGTGAAGAACGTAGAGCGCGGAGCGTGACTGAGCACTTACTTAACTACAAGGCTATAGTTATTGCTCTCGTGTCGGTCTTATAGATAGTTACACGACCATGGCGAAAGCCCCATGTAGCAAGTAAATCAACTCAATCTGAGTGCGGGGAGTTTAGTGTTGGCCCAAAGACTTGTTTCAACAGACGAAAGCAGCCGCTCGGTGCGCCAGGGCGACCAGGGTGTCTCTCAGCTGCCCTCAACGAGTCCCCCCCCCCCGTTGGCCGTTGGGATGACAAGCCCTGAAGGATTTGCTGATTGGTGCCGGTGTGACGAACAGCTCCTATTGGCTCAACGAGACGGAGGTCTGTCCGACCCCCATCCATTCCTCCCATTGGGCAGATCGGTACGATCGAGGGCCGGTCACCCTTTGTCTGGGTCGCACTGGAGGAGGATATGGAGGGCCAAGACTATGCTCTTGGTGATTTCTAGCCTTGTCACAAAAAGAGCAGTTGGGCATTGCAGAACACACCCAAGGCCAAACCCAAACCCAGGCCCAGCGTACCACCCGCACGAAACTTGGAACCTGTGCTCACTCCAACGGCCCGGCCTTTGCCATGTTGGACAGCGCGCCGCCGCCGCCACCGCCGCCGTCACGGCCGCTCCAGCCAAAGACGACTCGTGGCCAGGAACGTAGCGCCCCCGAGTATCCCAGCATCAAAAGACGACGAGCAACCGTGATTGCGTGCCACAACTGCCGCCTCAAGAAGATCCGAGTACGATTGGGTTCCCCCGCCCCCCTTTGCCCTTGAAAAAGAATAGCACTTCCTCCGCCTTTGACCACGATTGTGTATTGTGTTTTTTTGCTGACCCTCTGGCTGCTTTGCGCGACGCAAAAAAACAGTGCGACGGCCAGCGCCCGGCCTGCTCGTCGTGCGCGTCCAAGACGGTCCCGTGCACGTACCGGGACGCGGTGCGGGACGCGGTCCCCGGCGTCGTGCGCATGCTCGGCCAGCTGTGCGCGAGCGAGCTCGTGCGTGTCGTCGCCCGCCTCAAGGACGAGGAGGACGCAGAGACTATCCTGGCCACCATCAAGGCTTGCCTGGCGCGGCAGGCGAGACGCCGCTACGACGAGGAAACGCCGTCGACGGCCGGCAGCGAGGAGTGCGCCCCGAGAACGCCGCTGGCCGGCGGAGACGTCGACTGGTACTGGCCGGCGAGCTGCCACCCGACGACGACGACAACGACGACGATGACGACGACGACGACGGCCGAGTTTGCGGTGCACACGGACGTGGTCGGTCCCGTGGTGGATTATTGGCCGAATGGCTGGCCGAGAACGTGGGCTCGGCTTCCAAACGACATCTGAAGCGCCTGCTTCTGGTTACAGATTGGGCAGTTTGCGGGGAACGAAGCGTGGCAATACATGCGCTTCCTTGGCTTGGATGCACTGTCTACTCTGTTTGGACGGTACTAAGCTTGAAATTCACGGACAACTTTGGCGGCATACAGAATAGCATCTGGCGGTTCCCACCATGAGACAGACCATCGAAACCTCGTCCACTTGCTATTTCGCCGGCGACAGAGACGTTGCAATGATATTCTTCCACGTTGGAGACGAGAGACGGAGAGGCACGGCATCCGGGTGGTTCACATTCTCTACAAACACCCCCCTCTCCATCATTGGCGACCTTACACATCTCTTCCGAAGGGTACATGAATCAACAAGTTGTCCCGCCTGGTGATACAGGACCATGAGTGAGGACGGCTGGTTTGGCCGGAAAGCTATTGCTACCACTGAGGACTCAAAAGACGAAACAGAGAGGCTGTCCGGAATATCGGCTTGGGAAGGCCGGTCCAACAACGGGAGCCACAGCAACAGACCAGTCAATAAGAGACTGACTGACGAGAATAGAATTAAACTACATCCAGAACTACACAATACACCATTTTGCTTCCTCGCATATCCGCATGATATCCTTCCCATCTACTGAACTGGTCTAGTGTCGGCCGGCCGGTGTTCCGCAGTGGGGTCCTCCGGGACCCCTCCATGTAAGCCGCAAGGCGCACAAGACGCGTTGCGATAAAACGCTCAGCCGGCTCCGCCCTCCCCTCTCATCCTCCCACCACCAATTCACCCCCCCAAAACCCAGTACGTACCATGGACCGTCTGCTCGATATTCCCTCGCACGAGGCGCGCTTCGCCCAGCGCCACGCCGCCTCCTCCTCCGCGCCGACGCTGCCGTCCGCCGCCGCCCTCCGCACGGCCGCCTCCTCGCTGCCCTCCCCGTCCTCGCCGGCGTACCTCACCGGGGCGCCGGCCAGCGCCGTCGCCGCGCACATTGCGCGCGACATCGTGCCCGCACTCACCGGCCAGAACGCATCCGCGCGCTACTTTGGCTTCGTCACCGGCGGCGTGCTGCCGCTCGCCGAGTGGGCCGACAACGTCGTCTCGGCGCTGGACCAGAACGTGCAGGTGCACCTGCCGACGCAGACAGCGGCGACGGGCGTCGAGGACGCGGCGCTCGAGATGCTCGTGCATGCGCTGCGGCTGGAGCGCGGCGGCTGGCGCGGGAGGACCTGCACGACGGGCGCCACGGCGAGCAACATCCTGGGCCTGGCGTGCGGCCGCGAGCACGTCCTGGCGGGGGCCAGTGGCGAGGTCGGG